AGACTATCGGAAAAAATAAAGCTTAAAGGGGCTAATAATTTTGACCTTAAAATGGCTTTTAAGAAATTAAAAACTGCTTTTATTCTAGCCGAATTAAAATAAAAATAAAACTTTCTCCAGAAGAAAAACTATTATCAGACATACTGTGAATATGTCCTAAACTAATCCTAATGAGTACTGTGAACTTAATCCGATTGAGTAAACGAAGCAATTTGAGCACAGTAAAACCCAATAAATGAAGAGAACTCAAATCAACTGAGTACTGGAAAACCCAATAAGTTCAGGCAACTCAAACCATTTGAGGAAAGCGATTGCTACAAAGAACTTATGGACTACAAATCCGCCATTTATGGACTACATTTTCATATATGCACTCCGCTCACACACACGCTTTCTCATTCTGACTGATTACACTCGCACCACCGAAGGATTGTCAAAGACTGATTACACACTCTATTTAAGCAGCACACACTCATTCCCATCGCCGAGTCTTGTTTTCGTAAAGTGATATTACAACGCGTTTGCCTGATTTTTTTTTTCCCGTGTTTTGACCCTAGCCTTGTATGCCTTTTTGTCCCTGTCTGCCGCCTGCCTTCCGACCTCTCGCCTGTCATTCCGATCACGATTCTGGATTGTCTTTAAAACATCTGTTTGCACCCGTTTTGACAATTGCTTGTCTGACATCCTCATTAAACCTGCATGTGGATCCGAACTCTGTTGTCTGTGTCACTCCCCGTGTTACAGAGGTAATTAATTTACTCATTACCTTCAACGCCAAACTCAAAACTCTTTTCAAATGTGTAGAATGAACTTTCAGTGACTTTTGAGTTAAATACACTCATTTAATTTGAACTTGAAGTTGAATGTTGGGTTTTACAGTGTACAAACACCTTTTTAAAGAAGCATGTTTTGTAAACAATGGTTTGAACCATCATAGGGGTGGTCAAATTTATATTTAAGTTATCTGTTATTTTAATTATTGATATTATTTAAGATACAGATCAGTGCAAATTATTTCTTAAATATTAAAGGGCAGAACCCCCCCCCCCCCCCCTTCTTTTGATGTCCTTCCGGAAGAATCAAGCTTTAATCAAAGGGGTCTCCCCCTTGATTGTGATGGTTTGCTCCACCCTGAGCAGACTGTTTTAAATGCAAAGATGCGAAAGTGAAGGCAAGAAAGACAGAGCAACGTCTTCCCCCCCCCCCCTTTCCAGAGTTTACTGTATGAGCATTATAAAAAAACATTTTTAATTTGAACGAAAGCTGTCAATAGTTTGCCGACTCCTATCCTGAAAATTTGGATACTATAGTGTTAAAAATGCATTAAATCGCATGTTATTTGAGGTCCCCCTTTCCTCTATATCGCGACTATCGGTTATATTATTCATTAATTTTCTTTCAGCTTAGTCCCTTGATTAATCAGGGGTCGCCACAGTGGAATGAACCGCCAATTTATCCAGCATATGTTTTACGCAGCAGATGCCCTTCCAGCTGCAACCCATCACTGGGAAATACCCATACACTTTTGCATCCACACTCATACATTACGGCCAATTTAGCTTTTTCAATTCGCCTATAGCGCATGTATTTAGACTGTATGGGAAAACTGGAGGAAACCCACGCCAACACGAGGAGAACATACAAACTCCACACAGAAATGCCAACTGGCCCAGCCGGGACTCGAACCAGCGACCTTCTTGCCTTCTAACCACTGCGTCTTAAAGTCAGGTTTATTAATTGTTTATTCATTGTGGCCCTGGACCACAAAACAAGTTTTATGTTGCAGCAGTATACTTTTGCCTCTCTCCAAAAAGACTGGGTCAACATGATTTTTTTTATGTGAAAAATAATTAGAAAATTTAACGAAGATCATGTTTCATGAAGACATTTGGTAAATGTCCTACTGTAATATATAACAAAATCTCATTTTTGATTAGTAATGTGCATTAAGACCTTCATTTGGACGATTTTAAAGCTGATTTTGTCAATATTTAGATTTTTTACACCCTTAAATTGTATATTTTTTAATATCTCAGCCAAATATTGTCCTACACTCAAATTGGTTAAACAATTTATCTACGATAAGCTGAATCAATACAATTCTTGAGGTTGTTTTAGTAGACAACTTAATAGTTTTATGTTCAATCAACTTAAATTTGCAAAAACTAATAACTTAATCGATTTGTGTTGTGACAACATGAAGGAATTGTGTTTAACCCAGCATTTCTTAGTGTTTCCTAACAAACCACACATCAATAGACAGCTTATTGTGTCAGCTTTCATGTTTTAAATAGATATCTGTATTTATGGTTCGTATAGATATCTCAGTGTGACTGGTTTTGTGGTCCTCGGAATTATTAGCCACCCTTTGAATAATTTTTTTCTTTTTTAAATATTTCCCAAATGATGTTTAGCAGAGCGAGGAAATTTTCACAGTATGTCTGATAATATTTTTTCTTCTGGAGAAAGTCTTATTTGTTTTATTTCGGCTAGAATAAAAGCAGTTTTTATTTTTTAAAATAACTATTTAAGGTCAAAATTATTATTATTTTTCCGATATTCTACAGAATAAACCATCATTATACAAGAACTTGCCTAATTACCCTAACCTGTCTAGTTATCCTAGTTAACCTAGTTAAGCCTTTAAATGTCACTTTAAGCTGTAAAGAAGTGTATTGAAAAATATCTAGTAAAATATGTACTGTCATCATGGCAAAGATAAAATAAATCAGTTATTAGAAATGAGTTATTAAAACTATTATGTTTAGAAATGTGTTAAAAAAGTCTCTCTGTTAAACAGAAATTGGGGGAAAAATAAACAGGGGGGCTATTAATTTAGGGAGGGCTAATAATTCTGACTTCAACTGTATATGCAAGAGTTTCTAATGACTTGACGTGATGAAAGTCTCTCTCACCTTGATTCTCTGCAGTTCAGTCTCCATCCTCAGCTGCTCCACGGCTCTCCTTGCCTGAAGAACATTATTACTGCAGTAAACGTCCATCACCGGCTGCAAAACATGGTACATCTGATCCTGAGCAAGTTATTCAATCATTTTTTGATAGGGAAATTGGCTCTGTCTGTCTGTTTTTTAATGATTATTTTTGGTTTTATTCGGTTCATCTGAGGTCTGACAGACAATAACAACAATGTAAAAACAAAATAAAAAATATGGGTACAAACACACATACAGAAACACCATAAAACCCACACACTCTATGAGGTAGTTGTATATAGCTGAGGTAAAACTACCACTGATTGAAAGTATGAGGAAAACATAATTAAATTAGTATTTTTTTTAAATAAATTACTAAATAAATATATAAATAATAAGATAAAACATCATATATCTGCATTGCTTTGACAACTTACATTGTAAAGCGCTATAAATTAAGAAGAATAGAATATACTCATATGCATACATAAAATACAATTAAATAAGATAATTTAGGATAATATATATATAAATAAAAATAAATATTATATAGAAATGACAATTATTATTAGAGGAGAGCTGTTATTTTACCTCAAGAGCACATTTGGTTTGTGGTGTTGAGCTCAGATGTTCTGGTTTCAGTAAGGAAGTCCTAATGTCTGAGTTTTGGAGGTGTTTATATCTCTTATTTATATACATTGGGATGTTGAACCCCTTCATCTTTCAACACACACACACACACACACACACACACACACACACACACACATAGACTGCTTCAAAGCTCCTGTGAAGTGCTGCAGTTCTGAGGTCAGATCAACACGGCCTGAAATGTCACGGAAGTTCAGGAGTGTTTGATTTTTCACGCTGGCGGTCTTGAAAGCTCTCGTGAATCTGTTCACTGAGATGTTGAAAATAATACATGTGGACACTGTTTGTAGAATAGTAGCGACCCCTGCTGAATGAAGAGACCAAGCCGAAGGAAATAAATGAATGTTTGTAGAATAGGGTATATGTGAAGCTAGTGTTTCCTCCCATACTGATAAACTTCCGGTAAACGGTTAATGTGACTTTTCCCCCCCATTTTACACGGTTCCTTTTACAGCATCGATGTTGCAATGTAATTAAAATATAATCAGTTAAACAGACTTTGGCATTCATTTAGTTGCTTAAGCGTAAAACAAGACAAAAAAACGTTTACTCGCACACGCCCGTCAGAATCAGCATCTAGCGCAGAAGCTCCATTAAATATACTGGGGTAGAATAAATGTATATATTTATAAGACATGACAAGGGAAAATGTACTTTAATGGAGTGTTTCCTGTACATTCTGAGACCCACTTTATATCAAATGTCACTCAGCCAGTAGAGATCGCTGATTTTTAAAGAAAACACCTTAAATGCGCCGATTTTGTAATGGCATACTGTTCATTGGAAGCGATAACCTAGGTTACTGACAAATTAATAGTCCTTTACATACTTCCTAAATCCTAAATGAACGTCCCTTTACCAAGGTATCCAGTGATCCAAATGACCTTGAAGCTCTTACTCCAAATCATCTGCTTCTTATGAAAGGCAAGCCTTTCATAAGAAAAGACCACCAGGTCTTTTTGAAAGAACAGATCTCTATGTGAAAAGAAGATTGAAACAAGTGCAGTACCTAGCTGATCTTTTCTGGAAAGGATGGATATGGGAGTATCTTCCTCTACTCCAAAAATATCAAAAATGGACAAAGGAACGTCAAAGTTTTAGTACAGGGGACATTGTACTTTACTGGATCCTACTGCGCCTCGTGGCTCATGGCCACATGGTCGAGTATTAGAAACTTTTTCAGATGATAAGGGCTTAAATATATTTAGTTCTTGTCTACAACAGTGCATAATAAAAGGTATTTTCTTAGAGCTAAAGTTGATTTTATATTCACACATTCAGACTTTCTCCTTAATATAATTTCAGCAAAGTGTTGTTTGCAAATTGTAAATAGTGAAATCATATTAGCAGCCAGTGACAATCAAAATACAGCATTGTTCACCGTCAAATAAATAGTGCTAATGTTGTTTTCAAGTCTTGCTTGTGATTTCAGACCGAAGTACCTGTAAACAATATAGAGAGCAAGCCACAAGTTACCACTGAACGGATGTGTGAATATAAAACCAACTTTAACTCGATTTTTGTTACAGATAATTGTAAACTCACAGACATTTTAAATATATATATACACAGCCGTAGCCATGCAGGTGGGGTACAGGTGGTTCAAAAGACTCACCCCTCACTGACAAAGGTTCACAATTTGTCCCAGCATACATAAACTCATTTGTCCTATTTTGACTGCTATGTAAATATTAAATTCATGAATATTATTAAATATATCAAATATTTCCATTGAAAAAGCCTTCAAATGTGTGAATAAAATCTGCTTAGATGTGATTTCAGCTGAACAGTTTTGGCCAGTGCAAACAAAAATGGCCTATATTAAAAATGAATTTATTGTTACATGAATTTTCTAATGTACTTTTTAAAAGAAAGTCTATAGAAAAATCATGAGGCTCTGTACTATTATTTCTATGTTTGAGTTTTTTTTTAATAATTAAAATTGTGACTGCAGAACAGTTGAATGTGCTGGCCAGTTTGTTATTTGCCTAATAACCAACAATAGGCTACGCTTTTTAATATAAAACTTTAACAGATTCCTATTTTTTTCTAACGATAAATGATGTATTAAATTTGTATTTAAAAAAATAAGTACTTAATTCATATTTCTTTATTCTAAATCTTTTGGAAATATCTTTGGTACATTAAAAAGTGTGGTTATGATGACCATCCGACAAGCTAAGCCAACTAAAACTTGTGCTTAAAATGCCACTAGAATGCAGTATTTAAATCTCATAATTAAAAAGAGAATAGCTGCAAAACTCTCTGAAGCAAACCGAACATTCATATGCGCATGGCAGGTTTTTGGAGAGGGGTCTGGATGCAGACCTGGTGCAGTGCAATCTGAGCTGCATCCAATGATTTTTAATGGGCTTACCTAACCCCACCCCTCACAGTGACGTCATTAGCTCCATTTGAGTGCATTGTGTTTCGCATTTAGTCTTAAGTAAATTTACGCAGACTGATGGAATTGTTCATTCTGTTTAAATTATCTAGAGTCTTTGATTCACCTTTTTTTATGAATGTCAACACTCACATTTTTTTTGGGAAGGTCTATTATTGTATGTCCAAAAAAAAATCAGGTTTTAGATGTAATTTGACCCCCAAAGATCCTATTTTTTTATTTTGTTTGAAACAATTTATCCGTGGAATTTATAATGAATCCTTTGATATTATTTGGTAAATTTTATGTTCATAAATGCAGATTAAATAACTCTAAACCTTGTTTAAAGGTTGCTATTATAGATTTTTCATTTGTATATAAACTGGCTTCAATATATTAATAGCAAAAAAAAAAAAGTAAAAATACAATTATAGTGGCAAAGGAGCAGAAGTTAATTGGTTTGTAAACTTGCTGTCAATAAGTTAAAACATAATATCATTGTAAAGATATCTATTTTAAAGCTCTCTTTTTATTTATGTATTTAATGTAATTTATAGTTTAGTTTATTTTATGTTATTAGTTGCATTTTTTTTGAATGTCGTGTTTAAATTGTATTTTTGCTGTTGTTTAAATAAATAAAACATTTTTCGCATTTAGTCGGTTTGCAAATGTCCCGCCGCGCTTACCGTAGTTGTTTAGAACATGTGGATGAACCTGAACAAGTGCGCAGCGCTGTGAAATGTGAGTGAAACCAACGAGAAACTACACCTAAAAAGCCGGATTTACATCCATAACCCCCGTGGTGAGTCAAATCTTATACTTAGAAAATGAATAGAATATCTATATGTATTTGCGTTACAGAACCCTTGATCATTCATTGGTACTCACGTAAACTGCAGTAAAATATAAACAAAACCATGCCATTGTATTAGTTTTAGTATAAGTACTTGAGTAAGTTTCCTTATAAGTACCATAATAAGCGAATACTGGAGTCATTTGTAGTTTTATCGACGTTATTTGCCGCCTCATAGCAGCTGTGCAGAGCTAAAGCTAACGTTATGCTGAGGTGATGGGGGGGAAAGTTGGCTACATATTCTCCAATTCAGACGTTCACCTTAATATAATTTCAGAAAAGTATTATTTTCTAAATCAAAATAGTTCATAAATCATAAATAAACTAAATAAATCATATTAGCAGGAAATGACAACGTTAATCAACATTGCTCGCAGTCTAGTAAACAGCGCTGATCTTGTTTTAAAGTCCTACTTGCATGCCATTTCAGACCAAATAAATTTTGGTCTGTATTTCAGAAAAATACAATAACAAAAAAATAAGAAAGAAGAGAGAAATAGGAAAAAAAATACAAAGCCTCAAATCATTAAGAAAAAAGATTATCATAAGCTTTAAGAAACTTATTATTCTTATTATTATTATTATTAATAAACGTAAGAGATTCAACGATGTACGAAATTTCAACAAGGAAGGTATTAAATATAGGTATTTTATTTTTGTGTATAAAATATTTACAGTGTAACACATAAAAATGTACAATAAGATCGAGAGCATGATCATTACCAGAGAAATACAGAAATATATCTTTATATACAAATTTAAATCATGTTTAAATAAAAAAACATAATGATTTATAATAAACATAATAGTTTAAAATAAAACATAATGTTATTCCTAAGATGTTTAGTGTGAGTGCAACTATAGAATAAGTGAAATATAGTCTCTTCATGTATATTGCAGAAAGTACACAAATTAGATATATCAAAATAGTTAGCAATTTGGGAATTTGTAGAATAAACATTATGCAAGATCTTAAAATGTATCTCTCTTATTTTGTTGGATACGCTAAAATTTTTCAGGTAATAGCCATGCTCTCTTCCATTGAATGCAATCAGAAAAATTGGCTCAGAAAAATAAGCATCTTGGGGAGGTATATACAGAGTAATGTAACAGTCGTCTGACATATCCGTTGTCACTAGACCGAATATACAAAGGAGCATGGTAAACAATACTATGACGTCACAAGTCGTCACTTTGTTCTTAAATGAACAGTTTAGCCAACTACAGCTCTAACATGTCCTATATCACTCGCATTATGCATTCAGATTAGATGTTTTTACTGGTCACTTTATATATATTTTTTACTTGCGATTAAAATGTTGATTGAATTTGCTTATTTGTGGGTGGTTACTCACATAAATGGTGACGTCACAACATTTGATAGAGATGAGCATGTTGATTAGCAGTTTTAAAAGCGCAGAGTCAGTTACAAATATAGCGTACGTTGTTCTGCTCATCATGATTATTCATCTCTATTAGCCTTTTTAAATCATGCTTTACTGTTTATTGAATGCTAAAGTCTGGATGCGCTGAATTAACTTAACTTCGGTGTGTGTGTGCAGCGGATCGGTGAGCTCCTCATGGCGGGTCAGGCTCCGCCGGTGGCCCGGGCCGCGGTGCTGAAGGAGAGCACGCCTCTGCCGGACAATCTGCCTCAGATCAGAGGATACGACTTTAACCAGGGCCTGAACCACAGAGCGCTGCTGCAGTCCTTCATCACTACCGGCTTCCAGGCCTCCAGCTTCGGCCTGGCAGTGCAGGAGATCAATAAGATGGTGAGTGACAGACTGATCGTGTGTGTGTGTGTGTGTGTGTGTGTGTGTGTGTGTGTGTGTGTGTGTGTGTGTACTTGGGGCTGGGCATTTAATCGAAATGGACATCCAGAACGATCTAATCTAATCGATCTAATTTTTCCAGGTCAATTTTTTTCCATTACTTTCCTTACTGTGTTTGGAGTCACCCGCTCTGTTTATACTGATTTACGCTATAATATTAAACTTTGAGCGACTCCACTATGTACTGAACTGTAACGTCAAATGTAAAATAATAAATGTTTACTATTATTACCATGGTATTGTTTTGTTCTATTAGTAGATGGTCAGCAATTAAATATATGAGCAATATCACACGAGTAGCAGTGCGATATGGCTGTATATCGGCACTGGTGGGAGGCGTGCGTTGGCACGAGGCCACAGGCAGAGTACCTTAGTGCCTCCACCAGTGCCGATATACAGCCATATAGCACTGCTACGAGTGTGATATTGCGTTTATACAACAGTTTGACGGCATAATTGTGTACATAAAAACAAAATCAAACATGGAGAGTCTCAAAAACCCTTTTGTATGAGGAACTACTTTCTTCCACGTTGGATTCAAATCATAAGCTGACAGTTAAACAGCTGTTAAAACAGTTAAAAGCATCTTTTAAACTTTAGATCTGTAGTGTCTGCTTTTTGCTGGCTGTATGTGGGCGGAGTAATACACAAAGGGTAAAGAGGCTGTAGGAGTTCTGATATTGCAGAATATCGCACGGCTATCAGCCAATCAGATTTGAGAACCAGACAGAACTGTTGTATAAGAATAAATAATACACTGCATTAGTGTTTCCAGCTCAGTACTAACTCTGTAGTGTGTGTGTGTGTGTGTGTGTGTGTGTGCGTGTGTGTGTGCGGATGTGTGTGTGTGTGTGTAGATAGAGAAGAGGCTGGAGCCGGTGCAGGAGGAGTGTGAGGACAGTGATTCTCGTCAGTCTGCTTTGGGATGCACTATATTCCTGGGCTACACGTCAAACCTGATCAGCTCCGGTGTGCGAGAGAGCATCCGATACCTCACACAGCACAAGATGGTACCACTTCCTTTCAAACTATGGCTTGCACTTCAAAAAACAACAACATTTTGAATATTAACAAAAAAAAGCATATTGGGTGGGTGGAAAATAACCAGGCAGTATTTACTAGAACTTGTAGTATGGCAGGAATCATGATGAAAACAAGCAAACAGACATATTTAACATTGATAGTGCATGCGTCGGACACAAAAGACTATTATAAATGGGCTTTACTACACCTTTTTACCATTCTTTTATAGTAAGTAGTATGTTTGGATTTACTTTTGTTATTTTTATGTTATTAATGTTGGGAAAACATTAATCACATGCAAAATAAATGTTTGTTTTGGCAATCTAGACCGTGCATGCGGAAAGTATTCATAGCGCTTCACTTTTTTCCACATTTTTTTATGTTACAGTCTTATTCCAAAATGGAGTAAATTACTTTTACGCAATTTTAATAAATCAGTTTTTAGAAATGAGTTATTAAAACTATTATGTTTAGCAATGTGTTGAAAAAAATATTCTCTCTGTTAAACAGAAAGTGGGGGGGAAATATGCAGAGAGGCTAATAATTCAGGAGTGCTAATAATAAGGGCCCTATCATACACCTGGCGCAATGTGGCACAAGGCGTGGCGCAATACTTGTTTGCTAGTTTCAGCTTGGCGCAAGAGTTGTTTTGAGGCGTTACACTACGCTGTTTAAATAGCAAATGCATTAGCGCTCATTTGTGCGCCCATAGGCGTTCTGGTCTAAAAAGGAAGGCGTTCTGAGGCGGACCGCTGGCGCGTTGCTATTTTGAGAATCTATAATAGATTTTACATTAGACCAAAACAAACCCGGTCTAAACTCCGGCGCAGAGTTGCGCCTCGCTTACACACTGCTTAATACGCACAAGAGAGCAATAGGCAAATATCTTTACATATGAAAAAATTTAAATATTAAGGATATATATAGTATATAATAAGAATAGATATAGGATATGAATATAAAGGATTAAAATAAAACATATTATTTTCTAGCCTACATAAATATGAAAAATCACTGCTTTTATGTCTCTTCATCTCGGGAGGCTTTTTCAGTTCATTCGTAACAATTTGCTTTTGTATAATGTTATTATTATTAGCAGTATTATTTATTATATCCATATTTATATTTGTTTTATTAAAAACAAGCTTAGATTTGCCCACCTGCAGGTTTTAGACCATATGGGGCACAGCATGTGTTTTAGGATATAGCTCAGGTTTTTGAGCACATTTTGCTGTTATTATTGTTCATTTATTCGTTTGCTGGAAATTAGAACTGAATGTAGAAATAGTTTTGAAACGAATCTTTGCGCTTAACAAACTAAATTAATTATTTATAGACTAATTGATGTCTGTGCGTAAAGGTTTTCCTATCCTAGAGCGAAAGTGAAAGTGATCCATTATCTCTCATTCTCACGCAGTAGATGCTCTGTTTAACAGTTTTCTGTTAAAAAAAACTGTTAACTGTTTGCTTGTGAAATGCTCAGTTTTTCCACTTAGACTTACTTTGCGTCCTGTAAATAGCGAATGCGCTCTTGGCGCCACGCAGCTGACTATTAAAGGGAATGGAAGATGAGACTCTAATTGGTTTATTCTCAAAACACACCTATAACTCATTAAGAAAATAAACTCAACCCTTTTAGACTATGCGCCATGGCACAAAACGGATTTTCCCGTCCTTATATTAGCAAAAATGCGTTCTGACACGCCCTGAAAGCATTTGCACCCTGCGTTTTGCGCTCTGCGTTTTGCACTCTGCGCATGGACCGTCAAAATAGAGCCCTAAATGTCTTTGTTATGTAATATTGTGATGTTTTTTTGTAGGTAGATGTGATCGTGACCACAGCAGGAGGGATTGAAGAAGACCTTATTAAATGTTTAGCTCCAACTTTCCTTGGAGAGTTCAGTCTGAAAGGAAAAGAGCTGCGGCAGCAAGGAATTAATAGGTATGTATATATATATATATATATATATATATTTATATATATATATATATATATATATATATATATATATATATATATAAACTTCATTTTTAAACAATTGTAAAGTTTTTAGTGCAATTATTATTGTATATAATGATACTTTGTGTCATAGAATAGGTAATCTCCTGGTGCCGAATGAAAATTACTGTAAATTTGAAGACTGGCTGATGCCGATTCTGGACCAAATGGTGCTGGAGCAAAAAACAGAGGTGAGGAGTTTCATTTATTTAATCCTTTAACTACCCCACCAAGAAAAAAACGTTTGGAGTGCATGTCGCTAGTTAACACACTCAATGCAATTTTCCACAACACATCCCATAATTTCTAAAATATCAGCCTTTACCAAATGGCTGATGTCAGTTTATGGTAAAAGTACTGGAATTAATACATTTACTATGAAAAATCTGAAAATATGAAGTGTACGACCAATTTATTTATAAAAAATATTCAAAAAAAAATTTTTAAACACTAAATCGCCATGTCATAAAATATTTCAGGTCCTCATTTAACAAGTTTTCTTGTTGTTTTTGTTTTGTTTTTATTTACAGTAAAACCAAAATCAAGTGTAGTAATAGTGCAACAGGATTATGTTTGATTTAATTTTTTTATTTTTTGTAAACTAACAATGCTGTGTGCATAAACCATTATTGAAAACAGTAATTCTTTAAATTACTTTAACAGTCATTATTTAAAACGGTAAAAACATGGTCAACCATTTGGTAGAGCGGCAGTCAATATATGTTTGTATAATTAAATATATTGGGTGTGGTAAATATTTTATTTTGGATCAAATAATGTTGGTACAAAAACAGAAGTTAGATGACTGTATTATTATATTAATATTTTATTAAAGCACTATTTATTTGTTGGACTTATTAATGTAAATATTTGAAGAAATACATATTCTTTATTGTGTGGTGTTGTAAAAAAAAATAGAGGTGAGATTATTCTATTTTTATTAAATTGATTTTTACTAATTTCATTTTACTAATATAGCTTTTTTAAAATTAAATTGATCTTTGTGACTAAAATTAAATACATTTAAATTTCTAAATTAATCAAATTAATTAATTTAGTCATTTAAATGTATTTAATTTCTGTCAGTTGGATTGTTTAAATGTAATTGTTTTTCAATACATTTTAATAGTTTATAATTTATTATATAAATGTATATATTATTTGTGTGATTCAGTATTTGTAAACCTGGAGAAAATGGTTAGGAAAGTTTTAAGAAAGAAATTAAGTTAATATTTTATTTAATTATTTTTCACTTGATGTATTCAACAATTCATTTAATTATTTTTATTAATATTTTTAATATTGAATTTGTAAAATTTTGTATTTTATTTGCAACATATTTTAAATTGAATTAAATTAATTACTTTTTCTGTCCAATACTAAATATCGAACGCTTGTCATCAGGGCACACACTGGACACCCTCCAAAATGATCCACAGACTGGGCAAAGAAATCAACAACCCTGACTCGGTCTACTACTGGGCCTACAAGGTAACGCATGAATCAAATACATTCACATCAGTCCTTCCTCAATAACTATTGGATGATCGTTTTTCCAGAATGACATCCCAGTGTTTAGTCCCGCCCTCACTGATGGCTCATTAGGCGACATGATCTACTTCCACTCCTACAAGAACCCTGGACTAGTGCTGGACATTGTGGAGGGTGAGAATGCCAGCAATTAATCCACCATCATTCCATTGTTATTCTATACTTGTCATTGGTCCAGTAAGATGAGTTTTCAAGAGTATTCAACATATGCATGTGTTTTGTTGCAGAGTAAAAATATAAATGGTGTTGTTTTTTTCTTATTTATGCAAAAATTATAGCGTGTTTGTGTGTGTGATTTTAATGTACAGGGAGCTTATAATGATATATATAAGAAACTGAAGGCCTTTATTCTGCAATAACCCCCAGCTGGATGTACATTACCCTGCTTATTACACATCTGCTTAAGATTTATACTAAACTGTTATAAACTTTAACTGGAATTCAATTATAAATGTGTTAAAAGTCTTCCCTCTGTTAAACAGCAGTTGGGAAATAGTTGAAGTATTAAAAGGAGGGCTAATGATTTAGCTTGTTTTGCTTATACTGCTGTATGATGGAGTCGCTCAGCATGTGATGTGAATGCAGTCTGGATTTTCATCATGATAATATTTCTCCGCATATTTCAGATATTCGTAGGCTGAACAGTAAGGCGGTGTTCGCCAAGAGCACAGGGATGATTATTCTCGGAGGAGGACTGGTCAAGCACCACATCGCTAATGCTAATCTCATGGTAAACTCACAAACAAGCACATTAGCTATCCAAAAATGTGAATTAGACATTTGCACAAAACTGGAATATAACATTAAACATTTGCAAATAATGCAGCGTTTCCGTTCCAATGAGCCAAAGAGAACACAATCAAGACTTCCTGATAACCAAACACCAAATGTAATTTGCTGTGGTAGAAGAAGCAGCTTGTTGGCATTTTTCTTATTTATTAAATAACTTGCACCTCAGAAGATGAAACGCAAATGTGTGGTGGGTTTTGGATGTGCGCGATGCTTTTTGGGAGTGCAGACGGTCAAGACAGTTCTGGAGGTAATAAGTACTAAACCACTTTGATGACGAACTTTGGTTGAGGGATTTTAAACAAAACAACATTTCATATATTTACAATGTGCTCAGTCTACTTGTTTGTCCATTAATGCCGTCTATCGCACTCATTTTTATCATCGCATGATCTGTTAAAACAAAATCTCATGACTTGTTTGATGCATATGCTGGATTTTATTCAGTAAATGTGTTTGCATTGCAGCTTATGCACTTTCTTATCGAATGAGATTGTACTCGTTTGTTTAAGTTTTTATGTGCGTTTTAAAAATTAATATACATCTTGGTCATCTCCATTTAAGCATTTGTTTTAACACAAACTACCAAGGCATTATTTGACCTTCAAAATTTTGTAATTTAATAACTTAGAACTCTCATATCTGCAATACACTGACATGTCCTAAATATGTGTATATTTTTTTCTTACATTCTCATTTTATACAAAGCACAAAACTCAAAGCTTTAAGTATTTTCACCTTTAATTTCCATGGTGGTCAAAATGACTGCATGCAGTTCTGCTACTTTTCCTGATGACTTTGAATATGTGTGCCTCAGTAGCCTACCAACTTCCTGCTAACAATAACCAGGGGTGCGCTTCCCAAACAGCGACATAATTGGCGCCTGAACTATCATAGTATGATGCATCGTTTGGGGAGAGAAATATGTAGTGATGAGTGTTTCCCAAAACATGTAGTTTCTCTGTTGCTGATCCATCAATTGAACCACGTTAGTTATAACGTAAAATGCCCATAAAACGGGGTGGAGTAACAACTTCTTTAGAGAAGAACCCCATCATTTCTTTGTGTAAATTGTATTGTTTTACATGAACACGGATTTAAAAAAAAATCCAATATCAGTTTTGGTAAAAACATGCACTCGTTTTCCATATTAATTGAAATATATGTAAACGGCACATATAGAGCCTGTGTTTCCCTTATAAATATTATTGAGAATATGTCGTATGCTATTCCAAATTAACATAAAATCACTTAAAAAAGCTAACACTATTCTATATATTCTATCATAAATAAATCAGATAAATAAATAAATAATGAGGCTATTTATTAAGAAATGAAATGTAATAATTATTATTTATTAGGAAATGAAAGAAATCCTACTTTGATAATAATATTAATAATTTTAACGATGATGATGATGATGATTATTATTAAGTAGGATATTGTTTGTTTATTTTTTTTTTAAATTCTACTTTTATAAATTGATCATGTGCAAACCCCTGCAGAAAGGTTCTAACCAACAGGCCCATGTCATATACAGTACTGATACTTAATAAACAACCCACTATAAATTAAAAGCTTTAACGTATGCTATGTTTTTTTGTTTTCACAAGCTTTGGAGATGTAACATAAACTCCGCTTTTAAAAAATAGGTCATCTATAGCTTTTTTTTTGTCTTTTTTTTAATTTTTTTTTTATTAATGTCAGGGTAACAATAAAATCATAGAAATTTGTTACAAAGAGTGTACATGAGTTTTACAGAGGAGCAAAGAATCAAATAAGCACATAAAAGAGAAAAGAAAACAACAATAAAAAGAAAAACAAATAATATTAACTTATGTGTTAAGAAAATTAAAAAAGGAAAATATGTTAACTGTTCTAATGGCTTTAAGATTTTTAGAGGAAGCAATAGTTCTGATGTACTGTTGAATTTCCTTTTTAAAAACAATAAAACAAGGTATACGCTTTAAATCCTTGCTAAATTTCATATACACCGCTGTAAATTCGGTCATCTATAGCAATGGTTCTCAAAGTGGGGGTCGGGACCCCCTGAGGGGTCGTGGGACAATGAAGGGGGGTCGCCTGGTGGTTTCCAAAAATCTATTTATTTTTATTAAACCATAAGAATTACCATATTTTATCCATAACCTTCTGAAGAGAAAAAAATAGTCGTTTATACCATATATAGTTACTATAGTAGCTTATAGTTACTACTTCTATTGGATTGCAACCCCTGGGGTAATTGCATTGTATTAAAGACACAGCAATAGCGTCAGATGCAGCAGATTTCATAACACCTGGTTAAACTTTGTGGCCCATTTACAGCTCTCATACATAAAAAAATTAAAAGAAGAATAGACTTGGGTCCATTGGTGTGTGTGTGCCATTGCATGCAAGGTTTCTGTATTTATAACCACCTCAGAGGATATTGGGGGTCACGAGTCACTGGCATTGTCATTTTGGGGGTCACGGCCTAAAAAGTTTGGGAACCCCTGATCTATAGCTTTCGCCATGAGGCGGTGTTCAAAATGACATCAATGTTTTTAAAGTGCACTGCGAAGGGAGCTGTAAACATGAAGTTCGCTAAAACTAAACTGTAAGAATACTTTAAAAAGCAAATCACACCTAAGAGTGATGACTTTAATGCTTTTTTATTTTTAATCACTCCAAGTTTAAATGGAGAATGTTCTTAATGAATAGTGCGCATAGGGGGAAAAAGTGGGAATAGAACACAACCAGGAACTATGTTTCTAACTACAGCTCCAGAGGTGTAGTTGCGACCATACATGTTCGCGACGCAGTTTGCGAATGTTCGTTGGAACGATGGATTTGGGAAACGGCAAATCAACAAGCTATGTTTGTAATGACGGAACTTGCAACCTTAGTTTGCTAACAATGGTTTTAGGAAACACACCAGAGAGCAATCGTGAGAGAGAGAGTCGCGACAATGGAAGTCCCAAATGTCACATCATTCATGTACACCCAAATAGTTTCAGCAGGTGCTTAGGAGTTAAAAAAAATAATGTTAGCGGTAAAACGTTTAATTTTGAGCAATCTTATTTTTACAAACTTTGTACCGTTCGAAAGTGCAAAACCAGCTGTCTTCAGTTGTAAGTGCTAACTTCTGGGAATGAGTAAGAGGCTCCATGAGCTGCCATGCTTCATTGGAGTCAATGGAATTGTTGCAGCTCTCTCTCTTTCTCGATAGCTCTGACAAAAACATAACTTTCTGATAGCAAAAACATACCTTCACATCAGACATGTCTTTCAAAACAACATTTTCAGTGCCAAGAAAAACCCCTGCTCTCCTGCTTGTGAAAATGAATGGTAGGCGGTTTAGTGAGTCCACATTTACAGGCTGCATTATTAAAAACAGATTGTATTTTTAGGGTAATTTCTTTATAAAATTTCAAGACAGAGATTTAAAGCTTAATTTTAATATCTTCATAGAAGCTTTGGATTTAAATATGATGTGACAGTATGACGTCTTGTATGAGAACAGTCAAAACGACCACTGTGGTAACTGCTGTACTTCCAGTGTTAATGTGATAATCCAAAATGTGTATGGAAATATAAATTGTAATTGTGATTTGACACATGAACTGAGCTCTTTTCCTGTGTGTCCTGTGTCTGGCAGAGGAACGGGGCAGATTTCGCAGTGTTTGTTAACACTGGGCAGGAGTTTGATGGCTCGGATTCTGGAGCTCGACCAGATGAAGCCATTTCTTGGGGAAAGATCCGCATGGACGCCTCACCCGTAAAGGTCAGGGCCCGTATTTACAATACACATTATTCTAAATAAATAATTTTAAATAAATAATTTTTCTCTGCCGGCTTATTCATGAAAACTATATTATGTTGGCCTTTTTTAGGTATTAAAATAAAAAAAAATTCAAATAAAGATTTTAGGATGCATGCTAAGTGGTAAATTTAAACTCTGTTTAAATAGCAAATACATTTGCGTTCATATGTGCGCCCATAGGCGTTCTGATCTAAAAGGGAGGCGTTCTGAAGCGCATTGCTGGCGCGTTGCTATTTTAATAAACTATAATAAATTTTACAATAGACCATAACAAAGCCAATCTAAAGTCCAGAGCAGAGTGCGTTAGTTATGCGCCTCGCTTACACACTGCTTAATACAAGATGAAAAAGAATTAAAATATTATGGATATATCTAGGATATAATAAGGATATAGATTATATGAATATAAAGGATTAAAATGTTACAAAACATATTATTTTCTAGCCTACATAAATATGAAAAACCACTGCCTTCATGTCTTCTTCATCTCGGGAGGCTTTTTCAGTTCATTCATAACAATTTGCTTTTGTATAATGTTATTATTATTAGCAGTATTATTTATTATATCCATACTTCTATTTGTTTTATTAAAAACAAGCTTAGATTTCTCCACCAGGCAGTATTTTGAGCACACTTCGTTATTGTTGTTCATTTATTCGTTTGCTGGAAATTAAAACTGAATTTAGAATCGGTTTTAAAACAAATCTTTGCGATTAACAAACAAAATTAGTTATTTATAGGCTAATTGATGTCTGTGCGTTACAACGCGTTTCCCTATCCACGAGAGTGAAAGTGAAAGTAGATTATGAGATGCCTTATCTCTCATTCTCGCTCTAACTGTTTTCTTGCTAGTGAAGTGCTCAGTTTTTCCACTTACAAAGTCCGCCATGTTAATAGCAAATGCACCATGGCGCAACGCAGCTGGCTCTTAAAGAGAATGGGAGATGAGACTCTGATTGGTTTACTCTCAAAACACACCTATAACTCATTAAGAAAATAAGCTCAACCCTTTTAGACCATGCGCCACGGCACAAAGTGGATTTTTCCGTCCTTATATTAGCAAAAGTGGATTCCGACATGCCCTGAATGTGTTTGCGCTCTGCGCTTTGCACTTTGCACATGGACCGTCAAAATAGAGCCCTAAAGATTTGTCTTCCAGTAATACAAATTAATGTATTTTCTTAGATAATAATTACGCAAAATTATTTGTAAACACTTTTTGTTGAAATGTACATCAAAACTGTGTTTAAAGAACATGTATTTGCATAAATATTAAGGCAGAAGCAACATTATAAACCTTTTTTGGGTCACTGATTAATTGTTTTAAGAATAATAGTATAAAAATATTAATTCATGCTGTAATGAAACACAAAGTCTTTATGAGTGAGTTACTGGATCATTAATTTGAAGCCAATATTCAATCAAACAATAATAATAATAATATACTTTTTAAATTCAGTGGATTACAGCAATTCCAGTTTTGACAGAACGTCTGGTACATTACTGTTTTTTATTTTGTTTAGTTGTCTATTTAGAATCTTGGGAGAATCATCTTCTCTATTTTAATAAGTAAATAATATAAATCTGATTATATGCAGTTCAATGCGTCTGATGGTCTGGATAATGTTGTGTTTCTGTGCAGGTCTATGCTGATGCGTCATTAGTTTTTCCACTGCTGGTGGCTGAAACATTTGCTCACAACGCCAGCAGGCTGATCCAGGAAAAGAAGAGCGACTGATGGTGATTTTGCCTTCATGAAAACATCTAAAGCTCATTATTTTCCTGTTTCATTGCCTTCCAGTGCAGAAGATGTGAATGCTCTATTTAACGTCACAACGTCATATTTAACTATCCATTTAAATAAGCATGGCATATTTTTAGCCATATTCACAGTTGCGTTTAGTTGTTTTTATTTGACCGGAAATTCCCTTTATGTTCATCAGGTTTTATATTAAATTGACCGCTTTATTTAGAAGGTACAATGTTTGGCTTTAATTTATTGTTTTATTTCATCCCTCGCTGTAACACACAGCATCTTATGCTTATTTGTTTGCTCAGATAAAATACATAATTGTTACAATAGAGAGTTCATTTATTCCATAACCTAAATTATTGTATAAATATATACATGGGTTTGTAGGGTGGCTATTGATGCATAATAAACAACACTGCATAATAGAATTTATTTATGTTCATAATTCATAAATAAGGCTATTTTTAAGCATTTAGGTGTGTGACCCTGGACCAGAAAACAAAGCGTTGAAGAAGATTTTGTGTTCTCTAAAATGTGCAGTGAACACATCGTTCCGGATAACCATACAGAGATAGTTAGACATGTATTTTTAAGGAAAAAGGGCGACAACTAGTGGTGTATTTTGAGAAGAAAGGTGACAACTGCTGGTGTGTGTAGAAAGGGTGTCCTGCTGAGGAATGTGTTGAGCGACTATTGTAAGTAGATGCTGGAGAATGAGTTTATATGTAAAACATTGATTGTGTATGTAAAACCCACATGAAGTTAAATCTGTGAGAGGCTTTCTGGAAAATGAGTGACAAATAATGTATCATCATCATACCTGGCAACATTAGGCTGTGTAAATAAGGGATATGCTCACCATAATGAGGCACCCCCCCCCCCTTTTTTTTTAAATTCCCAAATTACTAAATATGTTCATTTGGAGCTAATTCATTGCAAATAAACAGTTAAATGGTCAGTAATGTGTTTTATTATTTTTAAAAAAAAAAATAAATAGTATATATTAGCAGCAAATACATTAGCTTATTAAAATTAATAGCTATTATAAATAAAATCAAGTTATCAGATTTCATAATTTTTTTCTTTACTGTGTAACTCACACATTCTGATTAATGACTCTTATTTGGATTTTTCATTTGATTACATTAAATAACAGGTGTCACTAAAAATGCACACATCTAACGTTATAATGAAAGCATTCGATTGCTTTCCTAACTTGTTATGCTCGTTTAAGACGAAATTAGTTGTGTTTAAACCCCCCCCCCCCCCCCCACCCCCACCCCCAAGAGAAGAGGACAAATTCTTTAGCAGGATAGCGCTCCTTCTCATACTTCAGCCACCACATAAAAGTTCCTGAAGGCTACGAAGGTCAAGGTGCTCCAGGATTGGCCAGCCCAGTCGCCAGACATAAATATTATTAAGCATGTCTGGGGTAAGAGGAAGGCATTGAAGATGAATCTTGATGAACTCTTGGAGTCCTGCAAGAACGCTTTCTTTGCCATTCCAGATGACTTTATTAATAAGTGATTTGAGTCATTGCAGAGATGTATGCATCCACTATGCTGACACACAGGCATTTGTAGCTCCGCCTTTTTTGAAAAGAGCACACTCTCATTTGAATTAAAGTGACAGTCACCAAAATGACACAATTAGCATCAACGGGTAAAAGGAGCAGCTTCAAAGAGCTATAAAACATTATTTGTGTGGTATTTTGAGCTGCACATGCACACTCTAGAGACATCATTTATATCTTGTATAAAAGGGCATAATTCACAACAAATGATATCTTAGAGCCAATAGCTAGACTGAACAATAGGGCCTATAAGATCCACAACAGACTTTCTGGATAGACACATCACTGTTTTGCTCTATTACTTTATAAGGCTTTAACATTTTAAAACTACGTTATGAACACAGCGGTTATACTGTACTATCAAATTTTAAATAGCGCTACCTCAGCACCCCTTTGTGCTTTGGTACCAAAACTTAACAAAAGGACTGATCGTTCCTCCAGATCTGTAACAAATGGATGTTTGCCATTACCGGCTTTATGGACAGAGATCTTTCTTTAATCTATTCACAAAAGCCAGGGTTCCGTTCTTTGTACATAGATTACTCAGCTGGGTTTGGATATTGACGATTTGACATGATCCAGGATCGTTTCATTCTTCAAAACTGATCCGAGAGTTGTTGTCACAGCAACAGTTCTGGTAGATCAAAGCAGGGGGCAGGTTCAATTCAAATAAACAGGATTAGATCGGGTCAGTTCAAGCAACGATAATACTGAAAGTATGTGCCGAATTGTGATATTTTCTTACAGTAGTAGTTATATACACTTGGGAAAATAGTAAATATTTTTAACTATATATATCAATAAAGTTAAAAAAAAATATTAATAAAACTTATGCAATCTACACCCCCGAAATGATAGTACAAAGACTGCCACCTGGTGGTGCAAAGAGAAAACTTATTGATATAAACTTTTTAGATCGCTTTAGTACAATTTCTGTATGATAATAGAAACAATATGTGACTTTTTTAAAAAGCAATAATACATTTATGCAGTCATAAACATGTTTTGACAGTTAATATGTCAGTGATTTGGTGCTTCACAAAAGTTGCAGACATCTTTATCAACATAAAAATGCTTTTTTGATGCAAAATTTATTTATAGTTATTCCTTGCGCAGATTAAAAAAACTTGAGTAGGCCTAGGCTACTATAATCAAGAAAATATTCTATAAATGTAGAACTAAATACATTGATATGTATTGAAATAAATGATGAATACTCTTGACACATGAAAGTGTAAAGTCTGCAGCTCACAACAAATGTGAAAAGTAATTTGCGCATCATATTTAACAAACCGTTTACTGTGACTTATGTCTTTTTGCTCACATGGATAATTGAATATTAATCAGATGATGTCATTACGCTGCTATGCCGTCAGCCAATCGTTGCATTGCTGATCATGATTTCGAGGATCGATAGATGTCCTTCACAACACACGCAGCGATCTCAGATCAGTTCATCCAGAAATTTTAATCTGATTCGCGAACTTGTTTAAAGAACCAAATTAGCGAGAGATCGGTTATCAAGATTAAAAGATCCAGGATCTGCCAAATCATCTTAGATCATTTAAGCGAGGTATGAAGAACAGATCCCACAAAAACAATACCAACACTGAGACTTTTTAAACAATCACATGCTCATCATCTGATGGTCAACTATCGATGTAGCCACTGAGACAGTAGCCTGCTTTTCTCTATTTTATATGTTTGGTAATTGTTTGTACTGTGTTGATGGATGAGATGTCTGCCTATTTTTATGTTCTGCAGAGCAGGAACCTGCTGAAAAACAGCTTTCATGCTGAGTCAGGCTTAATTATTTTTTATCTTTTCCTGTTTAAAAAAATAAATAAATAATAGATCCCTTTTAATAAAGATGTGGCTGTAAAAAAATGTGTTTTTTTCACACAGAAATAAGTGTCTGCTGTAGTGTCTGCTTGTGTCCAACAGAGGTCAGCTGTGCTTCTCAATACGCTACTGTACATTTACTGCTATTCGCTGGTGAGTTACTTGACTTGGCCTGAAGTGTATAAACAGATAGTTTAATTACAGTGCACAACAGTGCGGATTTACACTGTATTTAAGTGGAGATGTGCTGCAGGAACACCGGCTCCGCACATCAAGTGTTGAAAGTTTTGTTAACCTACTTTCCGACTTCCTTTAACACAATTGATACTTCAGCAATAATAAAACCAAAATCTGCACGCAAAGCCAGCTGTATTTCCTTCTCTCCGTTTATTTAGGACAGGCTGCTGTTTTATTTTAGCGTCGGTTTTATAGGTATACCCAGAGGAGATTTATTTTAATACGCAATATTGTTTGACAGTCGGTAAGAGTGGTTTTTGTTTCATTTATTGACATTATATACAGTATGGTTTTGTTTTTAGTATTACATTTTTAAAAGTCACTCAAGCTGAAATCCAGTTAAATGCTCCCTGGTGTTGCGGATTTCCATTTTCCCCCATTAGGCCACTGTCTCTTTTTGGAAATGCTCCGCTTCTCTTTGTTTGAGTTACTGGAATGAATGTTTATTAAAGTGGCGCAGAAGATGAGTTGATTGTTGGCTCTTTCCTGAACCTGTTCAGTTTGTTATGAGTGTGTGTGTGTGTGTGTGTGTGTGTGTGTGTGTCACACACTGCGCTACATAACCCCGCTATTGACCACACTATTCTTAAGTTTGTCATTAGAGCTCGTTTACAAACACTTCCTACAAAGTTTAATCTGTCCGTGTGGTACCCGAAACACCACGAGCCCTTCTGCTTATTACATAGCGATAGAACGGTGGAATCAACAGCGCACATAATGAACGTCTGCCCCGCGTTCAGAGGCATGTACATCACACGTCACGATCGCATTGTGAACATCACAGCTAAAGAGGTGGACAGAGTCAGTGTGCACAGTGTACTATACACTAACAAGACTGTACGAATGAACTGGTTTCCATCACTGAGCAGTAATGCACATGTTCTGAGTGCTGTCATTAGAGATTTTCCAAACACTCCTGATATTGTTGTTGTGAATGAAGTACTGAAAAACATTCTGATTATGAAAGTAGGCTGTTGTTTTGACTCATACATGGATCTGTGCTATTCAGAAAAAATGCTGAAATATCAACCATTAGTGAATGCTCTGAAAGTGTGTGGCTACAACACAAAATTGGTGGTTTTAATTTACGGTAGCCTTGGGCATGTTCATAAACTATGTGTGAGAGGACTACAAATTGCCGGACTCAGTAAAAAAAACTCTAAACAAATTGCAAAGTATTGTTCTGTATCTGCAATAATAGGCAGTCTTCATGTGTGGAGAAGACGATGCCATCTCTATCCTTAATCCATTTACTTAATACTGCACGTAGAATGGATTGAGTGTCTAGTGCCACGCAAAAGATCATCAATGGTTGCATGCTGCTTTTATTGTGAAACATTATGGGCTCCTTACGATTATTTGGATGCTGTGTTGTTTTAATAGTATTAGTCATTCCAAATAAAATGAATCAAATGTGTGTGTGTGTGTGTGTGTGTGTGTGTGTGTGTGTGTGTGTGTGTGGAGGGATTTATCAGGAGGAAATTTACACAACGCTTGTGAACAGAAAGCTATCAGCACCAGATGCTCAATGAGAAATGCACCGTATACAAGAACATCCGCTTGCACGTTATTTTTATTCATGTTATCATGATAGGGTGGCTCGGTGGTTAGCACTGTTGTTTCAAAGCAAGAAAGTCGCTGGTTCGAGTCCAGCTGGTTCAGTTAGTATTTCTGTTTGCATGTTCTCCCGGTGTTGGCGAGGGTTTCCTCTGGGTGCTCTGGTTTCCCCCACAGTCCGAAGACATGTGCTGTGGGGTAATTGGGTGAAGTAAAATG